TTGGTACTTTTGGTTTTATATCCTGTGCCACAAGGCATATCATATTTGAATTCACTTCATTTTACACACCAGTTTTGATTTTATGCCAAATGCTGTACAATATTTAATTTCAATAAATCTTTTGTTGGAAGTTAAATGTGTGTGGTGTTATGGCCGATGTTACTGAAATCGTTCCTGAGTCATTTTCCCCAAATGTAAAATATATGAATAAAATAAAACAAACGACGCTTCTGAAATGTTAAATAGTAAAGATACAAAATATTCATGTCAAACAGATTCAACCAAAATAACAAGACTTCATAGGCTATAATATCGCACGTCAAGATTGGAAAGTATCCAGGTATTGCCCTGATTATGAATCAACAAGTTATTTTCCGTTGCTGATTTTAAGTGATAATTGATAATATTATTTAATTGTTGCGGATGCAACTCCGTTATTATCATAATTGTAATGTTCTTAATTTATATCACTAAAAAGATATAAGAAATACAAATTAAATTGGATTTTTAAATTATCACAAAGTCAGCAATCTATTAATTGATTGTAGCAAATTCTGTTGACTTATCTATTGGTTGATGTTCACATTTTAGTAGTTCGAAAGTCAGACTTTTGGTATCATGCTTGGGTTTCCCTTGGAAAAAGTGGAAGGTCCACTTATCAATATAACACAACCTACAGGTTTTAGAGAGTATAAAATCGTTGGCTTTAGTTTTATGCCATGGGGTTTCATTGATATGGAATCTAGGTGTGATAGTCGTACTATTCTTATGATTTATATATTTTATATTTTGATAACTATTTTAAATTATTTAATTAAATTTGTATACACTGTACGTAATTATTATATTTGACCAAAGATATATGTTTGTAATAATAATTGTGACCGACTCTGGCAAAAAACTTGCGGTTGTCTTCAAATATAAAAGTCCTCAAATCAGCTAAAAATTCTATGTATTGTTTATCTTAATACATGTTGGACTGAAAATATAAATTATCATATTATCTTTGCCATTTGTTATCCGTTTTTAACAATTTTCAACACTATTATGTGCATATATCATTTTAATTAGAGACGGTGAAAAAGACTTAAACTTACTTTTCAATGCAGCAAATAAATTTGCACACTGGAAAATGTTATTCAATTTTGATAAATCAAATGTTATTATAACGGGACGCCACAATGCACATCAGAAATGGCCAATTGGTAACAACTTTATTTTTTTTTTCGTTTCATGACATTTATTTCCAAACTGCCAAACTTGAGTATACATACATATTGTAGATAAAAGTATAAATTGTAAGGGGGATCATAATCTAGAAGTGCTAAAACACTTGTCACAATAAGACCCTTAAACAAATATAAGCATAAGTATACTGTATACTGCATACACATGTGTGCATATCGCATACATACACATACACACAAACATACACATATACACACACATATATATATATATACATATATGCATATGTATATATACATATATACATATACATATATATATACATACACATACACATACACACATATATATATATATATACAAACACACACACACCTGTCTCTTATACACATCTAGATGTGTATAAGTAAAATTAAAGATACAGTACCTGTGAAATAGACGAAATAAAAATAATTTTTTTAAAAAGAAATAGAGTTAATAATAATAATAATAATAATAATAATAATAATGTCATTTTGTTAGGCGCACGTATCCATCCCTAGTAGGGGTGCTCGCGGCACGTATCCATCCCTAGTAGGGGTGCTCGCGGCGCCTATATAAAGTCAATCATTAACGAACATGATGATTTTAATAGAATATACTATGGCGATATTCTCTGGAAGTCAATTCGTATACCAAATATAACTTACGCAAGTAATGTATGGTTCAGTGAAAATAAGACATCCATGCAAAAAATTGAAAATATTCAATACCAAATGGCTAGATTCCTATTAAAGGCACCATGATGAACTTTCTTTATGGTTAACTAGGGTGGCAAACAATAGAATCTACACAGACAGAAGAATATTAACATATTTTCACAGACTTCAAAACATGGAAGAGCGTCGTTGGCCACGTTTACTTTTTAGAGCTCTCTTTGCATTAACAAATAATATCAGTTGGAAATGGTTGCAAAACATTGAAATCCTTTTGAATAAGTTTGAGTTAGAAAATGCACTTTAATATTTATTGTAACATAAAATTGCTCAAATACATTAAAGAGAAAATTATAATACAAAATAACATCAAATGGTTTAATAATGCTCAAGGTAAATCATCATTAGAAAATTATTTATGAAATATACGGTGTATATTATTTAAATAAGAAACGTTTATAAGCAGGACAAATGTACATATGTTTCTTTACACTATCATGTGAATTCTTGTTGCGCATCTCTTTAGCGATGGTGCCTCTGTTACAAAAGAGAAACAATTAAGTTATTATTATTATTGGTAGTAGCAGTAGTAGTAGTTGCTGCTGCGAAGCAGCCAATTCATATTCTTGACAGCAATTTGACCTCTGAAAGGTCATTGTTTGTCAAAAAAAGGGCCTAAGACGACTGAAAAGCGGAGTTTCTTTCTTTCGTTCTGCTAAGTAAATTACTTTAGACTTGTAGACTAACCTTCACGACCAACGTCCGCATGTCGCGACGCTCGAGTATTACTATTCAGCGTTTTTACTATATTTCTAGGTTTCCTATTTCTGCGTTTAATCGGTTTATTTCGGTTTATTGGCCACAATATTTTGAGGCCAATATTATTTACGAACCCAGTTAAACTTATTTACTAGCCTATTTCAGCGTGCTAATTATTACATTTAGGCGACGCTTGTTGTAGACTGGCATACACGGTACCAACGCTCGTTTTTACTATGTTTCTACGTCAGCTCGTCAGTGTTCTAATATAGACAATGGGTCGTGTCTCATATTATTTGTTATATTTTTATTATATATTATTTTCACTTGACTCGCATAAATAATTTTGTTCGAAGAACATTTATATGCAGTTGTACTTCGCAGCACTTCACTTGCAATTTGCAATTTCTAGTTATTATTATTATTATTATTATTATTATTATTATTATTACAGG